TTTATGTGGCAACACAAATTGGGGAAATGATGTCTTTCAATGAGATGGGAAGATGAGGACAAGAGCATCATCAAAAGGAACAGAGAATAAATGAAACAGCTTAGCTCCCTTTGAAAAGACTCAGACACTTTTGTCATATGTGTTTTTAAAATTTCAGTAATGTCTAAATTGCACTGGATTCACTGGCTAGTTAAGCACCATGCACCTCCCGATAACTCCATCACGTAGGCCCTAAAGCCATTTATCTTTTCTCTGTTTTTTGTACTTTTGAGTAATCTGGAATTATAGAAAGAAGTAACTATAATGGCTACAGGCTCTGTGGCACTCAGACTTTGAAGTCAGATAAAACTTCATCACATCCTTGAGTTAATTGCCAGTATTTTAAAACCTTACTTTCAATAATATCCCCTTTTCAGCAAAATTTGCCCAAAACATTTCCCCTGCCAAATGACTATGGGTGAAGTTACAAACTCATTTTACACGTGAATCGTAGTTTTGTCTATTTTCTGTTTTATAATAAAAGTGAATACTACTTATCTAAAAAATTTGATATACTAAATAAAAACATGAATATGAAGCCCTTAATATAAAGCTGGCATTGGTCAAAGGTTCCTTAATTATAAATGGTATCAGCAGTAGAAGTAGTAATAGAGACCCCGTAGTAATATCCACATCACTTATTTGTACACGATATTATTAATTCCGTTTATGAACAACCCTATGTCTACAGGTAGTTTCCAAGAGAAAAAAGAAACTAATTATTTTATAAATGGTTCTGGATCCCCATCATAAACCAGCACAATGGTTCACAACAAGTGAGCATTGAATCTAGAAAAGCCTTGTGTTAAGCAAAGAGCTAGGTGCCTCCATGTTGTTCAATGCCTGCCCTCACAGTAGACCCTTCTGCTACATGAGTCCCATGTTTGCTACAGATGGCTTTCTTCAGTTCTCAACAAACATTGTGAAAATGTTCCTGGAGACTAGGATCATTTAATTGTTCGAATTGTTCTTTTGAGAAAGCAAGTGGGCCAAGCACAATGTCTCATGTCTGTAATCTCAGCAGTTTAGGAGGCTGAGGTGTGCGGATCACTTGAGGTCAGGAGTTCGAGACCAGCCTGGCCAACATGGTGAAACCCCGTCTCTACTAAAAATACAAAGAATTAGCCAGGAGTGGTGGCGGGTGCCTGTAATCCCAGCTACTCGGGGTGGGGGGGTGGGGGCTGAGGCATGAGAATTGCTTGAACCTGGGAAGTGAAGGTTTCAATGAACCGAAATCATGCCACTGCACTCCAGGCTGGGCAATGGAGCAAGACTTTGTCTCAAACAAACAAACCAAAAGAAACCAAGTGGACAACACAGCAGTTCTCACCCAAATCAGTCCATGTTATGATGAGACAAAAAAAAAGAAACAAGGTCTTTACCAAGTAGAGACAAGAGGGACTATGAGCTTTAGATGACATAATCAACACATTAAATAGTATTCAAAGTAGGGCAACTAAAATAGTGGGGAATTAAAAGGAATTAATTGTACCATTAGAATAACATGTAAAGGCCAGTGAGTGGTTAATTTGATGATGAGACATCAGTGTGAACAAAGATCTGGCTACAACTATGTGTAACTTAGTAAATTCAACCCTAATTTATATTAATCTGGAAGGTCTATTAAGGAGTAATAGTTGAGTGTTGGGCAAGTTTTTCTGCAATCATAGTACATTCTTGTGCTTTAGTTTCCTAAAAAGATCAACTGAAACTGCATTTTCAAGTCCTGATTATAATCTTAGACTCAGAACTTTGAAGCAGGAAGGGACCTCAATAATAATGTAGACCAGCTTCTACAGGCAGGTTTCACCATCCTGGCTGTCTAGGACAGAAAGTAAAATAAGGGCCTGTGGCTTTGTCCTGGCTCTGCAGGAGTGAGTGCCTGATTCTTTTATAAGGACTGCAATGGGCCAGGGCATAAGGTGAGTGGGAGGAGCAACATATTTGTGTGCATGTAACATGTTTGCCCAATCTATGCTGCTTCCTTACTTCATAAGCGGACTCGGAAAGTTTCAGTTTCCCAATGGACGTGCTTAGGTTATGGAAGAGGACGTGAATGGTTATCAGTGATGCGCAGTGAATAACTTGACTATATGCAAGATTTCTACGGACCTTTTGTTAGCCCGTGCTTTAGCTTGTATCTACCACATATGCAGAACTTGACTCAATGTGTTAATGACATGTTCGAATGATCCTTTAATAATGTCACTTATATGGAATTTACAATGTGTCAGGCGCTGTTCTAAGCACTTTTCTACCTATACTTTACTCATCCAATTCTCACTCATAACACATATATGAAGTATGTTCTATTTTGATAACTCCTATTTTACAGATTAGAAAACTAGACCCAGAGAGGTTAAAGATTTGGCTAAAGGACTGTGTAAGCAGCAGACCTAGAATTTGAACCCAGAAAACAGAACCAGAGTCTGTGGTCTGACCTACTTTGTTGCTTTCCTCTGTGGGATGTCTGTTAGGCTCCTGCATAAATAATAGTGGCAGAGCCTCTTTACAATAGCCTACGTGTGTCCCTGGATGTTCCAGGAGGACTTCTCTGGATATTCCAGTATTGCACTACCTGCTAGCACCTTAACTATCAGAGAAAGAGATGAGTACAGACCACTTGGAAGAGGCTACTGATTGTTATCATAATAGCTTTAAGAAGAACAGAAAAATAAAATTCCCATTCTCTCAAGCCAAATAAAGACTTCTTTCATGAGGAAATAAGACACATGAGGCCAAAACCAATCCTAGGACTCCTTTTAAATTAATGAATGGAGACATTGGGAGAGTGGTGTGTACACTCTCTCCTTTTAGTAGTCATTAATTTTCTTAAGAACTTTTTTTTTTTTGACCCACTGGGCTATAAAAATTACATTTTGAAGTACTGAAAAGAAATTAGCAAAATTAGCAGTTAACAACAAAAAATATCTCTTTATAAAAGATGCATGCCCTAACCACAGTGTTCCTCTGAATTGTGTGCAACATGCTAATTACAAAGGACCTCAGGTTTTGTTAAGTATAGGCTTTTAATGAAAGAAACATAATCATAAGGCTAACTGCAGCTGTTGAGGAAAACAAAAAGGTTGAAATAACAGGGTGGACTGGGAAAGAATGAGAGAAATAAATACGCTTGCAATAAGATTTGTGGACCAGCGCCAGCAAAGTCAAAGGGAGGAGGGCTCCCAATCCAGTATTTCCCCATGGCTTGAGGACAGTATATGGGCATGTGTGCTTACAGGACATACAATTCCCAACTTACCCATTGGCAAGTCAAACTCACAGGCAGCTTTGGCCTGGGATAAGGGCTTAATCAAAGAACAATGGATTCAAGGCTATAAAAAGTTTAGGGTACTGTACTATAATAAAAATTGTGAAAGAATTTTTTAAGTACCTTCTGAGATAAATGTGTAAGTGGCATCAAGAACAACGAAAGGACTCAAATGCCGTCAGATGAAAGGGAATCGAGTAAATTTTTCTGAGAGGTACAGAAAAAGGATAATTTTTTAAATTTTTTTTTACATTTTAGGTTTTGGGGTACATGTGAAGAACATGCAAGATTGTTGCATAGGTACACACATGGCAGTGTGATTTGCTGCCTTCCTCCCCATCACTTATATCTGGCATTTCTCCCCATGCTATCTCTCCCCAGCTCCCCTCCCCTATTTCCCCCCAATAGACCCCAGTATGTGATGCTCCCCTCCCTGTGTCTATGTGTTCTCATTGTTCAACACCTGCCTATGAGTGAGAACATGCGGTGCTTGATTTTCTGTTCCTGTGTCAGTTTGCTGAGAATGATGGTTTCCAGGTTCATCCATGTCCCTACAAAGGACACAAACTCATCATTTTTGATAGCTGCATAATATTCCATGGTGTATATGCAGAAAAAGGATCTTTTTATGACAGATACAGATTATAATTAATTTTACAATTTAATTGTAAAATTAATACAAGGGCAGAGATGTTTACTCTCAATGACCACCTAGGCTTAGATACACAACTAAGAAGAGTCTTTTCTTTCTCTCCTGTGATTCCAACTATTTTAGAGCTTTCTACACCCTCTTCAATGTACCTTTCACTCTTTCTCTTATATCGTCCAGTTTTTTTTTTTTTCTCGGTGCTTACATTAACAGAAATGTCTTGTTCGTGTATGTCATTATTTGACATTCTTTCTTTCCAATTAGAAAGTCCACTTTGTGAGTGCTAGCACCTTGTCTATCGTATTGATTACATCTTCCCAGTACCATAAATGAAGTCTGATGTAGTGAGTTTGGATAAAATTTTAAATGATTGACTGACACTCATAGGAATGGTCTTCATTGGGAATTTGACCAGTATAGGAATTTGGATTCTAAGAAGATCAGAATTATATGTCAAGAACTTGAAAGCCTTGACAGAACAGGAGACAACAAGCAGCTCAGAGTCTCAGAGACAAGGAAAAGTCTCAGATATCAGGCAAAAGAAAAAAGATCCAGATGGGACTCACAGGCAAGCTGACCTGCTGCTTCACCCTCTTCTGTCTGTTATTCATCGAACACTTACTGTTCAACCACTGCACTCTACACATTAGACACTTGCGAAACAGTGACAAACAATGCCTAGCCACTCTACTGGAGGATCTTGGGTCTAGTAAGAAAGATAAATGTGTGATAGAGCAATTACAGCATAGAGGGAGAATTGGGACAGATTCTCCCAATTCTGTCTGAGATCTGACCTGTGGCAGGGACAGATGCCAGGGAGCATACCTGGGCTACATAAATAAAACTTAGATCTGAGTCAGATTATTAGGGAAGGTTGTAAGGCATGGACTAAAAAGACCTGGTAATGAACAGAGTAATTAGTTATCTGAATTGTGGGGAATTCGGAAATGGAGAGCTATGAAACAGGACCATTTTCCTTTCTACAAGTTTTTTGGAATGGGTATGGAAAGAAGACACAGTGAGTTGCCAGACTTTCCCAATGCAATACAATATTTTATTCCCAATACAATAGTCATTATTCACATGTAGCAATTTTAAGTTAAATTTTAATCAATTAAATGGAATTAAATTAAATTTTTGCTGCTTATATTAAGTGCTTGAGAGCCATATTGGACAGCACAAATATAAACCATCCCTAACATTACAGAATGTTCTATTAGACACTGCTGGTCTAAGGAGTATTAGCTATACTCTGCATTTTTTTTTTTTTTTTTGCCTAAAGTCAAATAAACCAATTTTCTATGGCTCACAGTACTCAAAATTCTCTAATGTCATTCATTCATTGATTCATTCATTGATTCAAACAACAGTTAAGTGGCCATTATGTACTAGTTTCTGTTTGATGATGTGGGGACACAAAATTAGATATGGCCAATCTGTCAGCGTATCTTATGGAGTATAGACCCTGTAGAAATAAAAGACAGTAAATAAATAAACACATCTAGACATCATATAACTTTAGGTAGTGATATACAGTTCAAAATGTCTAAAATGTTGTGAGTTTAAATTAGTTTGAATGGAGCCATTCTATATCTGAGTGCCCCTTCCTAGAGTTGAAATCAGTAACACCAGAAGTAAAATTTTTATCTGTTGTTTTACTTCTAAAGTAAATGCCATTCCTTTCAAATGCCTGCATATTGTACATTTTTCTCAATTATATTTTCTAGTTCAAATTCAGGGCAAGTGATCACATAAGCGCATTTTTTTTCATTTTTTAGGTTTGTGACTATATGGACAGAATGTATGACAAAAGAAAAATTAACTGAAATTTTGTTAATGGTTTGCACAATCATTACTGAAAAGCATATCCAGATAATCATGGAAAATCTGGTGATACTGTATCACTATCTGGGATCTGTGGCATTTTTCTACTTAATGGGAAAGACAGCATCTCTATATTTCAATATTTAAAGGCAGATCAGTTTTAGAAAATGCACAACTTTGTCAATCCTGTAATCATCTTATCAACTAAGTAAGAGAGAGAGAAGAGAGGGTTAAACACCACCCTCTGATTAAATAGCATCACCTTGCTTTAATGCAAACTTTTTGTTTAGATAAAGCATTATTATGTAATACTCTTAGCTTAAAAATCCTAAAAATTTACTAAACTTTAAAATTTTAGGAAGACTTTTGCCTTAAACATTGTCATAAATGGCTCTTTGAGGTTTAATGATTACTTACTATCATTGTATCATTTTGTTAAACTGTAACATTATTGCAGAAAAATGTCAAGGCAATTATTTAAAATTTGCCATTTGGTTTAGTGAAAATAAACATGGACTGTGCAATCAGGTCCCAAATGAGGCTTGTTCTGAGCCTCATTTGTTCCACACAGTAGAGACTTCATGAGTAAAGCCACATGAGTTTCCTTTTTTGTCCATCCAGAGGTAAGCACAGTTTATGTATGTTTGCTTAAGCAAGATTAAAGTTGGTAACAATTGAGATTTAATCTTGGTATTTAAAGCAGCTCACTTTTTTTTTAATGCAGAAAATCTCTCAGCACTTAAATTTAAAGTTACAGCTGGAAGTAAAACGAATAATTGCTCATTAACTCTATCTCTCTATAGAGTAGTGACCAGGCCCAGTGAAATTCAGTAACTTACCTAATGCACAGCTGATGTTTTAACACTTTGTCATGAGGCTGGGTAATTCATCCAGTGCGCTTTTCTTGATGACCTAAGACGGGATAAATTCCTCTCAGGTGTCAGGAATGTTGTTTCTTTGATGTATTCAAAATCTAGCCATCTGCTTGAGTGAAATTCTGTCATCATTATCTGTCAGAGTGGAACGAAAGCAAACCCTTAAGCCTAGTGATAGAGTTTTTGGATGTTTGGCCCCTTCATATGTCATGTGATTCCCAGTGTGGGAGGTGAAGCCTGGTAGGAGGTGTTTGGGTCATGGGAAAGCCTTCCTCATGAATGGCTGGGTGTCCTCCCAGTGGTAATGAGTTACTTCAAGATCTGGTTGTGAAAAAGACTCTTGGACCAGCTCTCTCTCTCTCTCTCTCTCTCTTTCCCCGCCTTTCTCCAGCCATATGACACACCAGCTCCCCCTTTGCCTTCTGCCATGAGGAAAAGCTTCATGAGGCCTTACCAGAAGCCAAGCAGACACTGGCACCATGCTTCTATAACCTGCAGAACAGCGAGTCAAGTACAGACGTCTTTATAAATTACCCAGCCTCAGGTATTCTTCTATAGCAATGCAAAGTGGACTCATACACTAATACACCTAAATAACTATTTCTAGTTGGAGGTATGGGAAAGCTTCAATGTTTATTCTTTGGTTTGGTTTGACTGTGCCTGTTTCTCCATCAAGAAATAGGCAAGCATTCGTCTTAGTCAGTGTAACAACTTGGCTCATTTGGCCATAGTTAGAACCATGTCTGTAGAGGGTGAACAGATTAGTGCTAGTTCCATGAGGTAGAAAAAATTCTCACCACTTCTCAGTCTATTTTTCTAAGTTACTTCCTAAGCTGAATCTTGCAGGGAAATTTCTGAGAAATAGGGGTACAGACTGGGAATCTAACTGCTTCATCTTATCACATGCTTTGAGGTTAAAGAAATTATGGTACAGAGGCAATTTCAATAGTAACTGAATGATGATGATAATGATGACGATGATGTGTGTGTATGTGTGTCTAAATGATGTCTATAAATTATAGTGGCAGTGTTTATAATAAATGTAATAGGCAAACAAAGTAAACCTAGGCCCTTGCCCTTACAAAGGTGACTTAAAGACCCTACTATGTGCCAGCCTTTTTCCAAATAGCACATATTGAAGAGTACATGGCTTTGCTCAGGGTGTGTCCCTGAAGATGAAATCCATTCCGAGGCATGTATTTAAGGAGTTTAAAGAAAAGAGACTGCCAGGATTTTTTTTGAAAAATGGAGATGTTTGAATAATTTAGGAGATTGTCAGTGATGAGACCACATAGAGGTTGTGAAACAGGCTATAGTATAAGACACGGTTTATCTCACGGAGGTTGGTTTTAAGAGCTTCTCTCCTTGGGAAGGAGTGAGGGACCTTTAAATGTGCAGTTGTTTACTTCCTGTTGCTAAGCATCTCATTCTCCACAGAATGTATGCTGGCTTTATTGGCATTTTGAAGAATAAGCTTCAGTAATCATAAATTATTCTCTCTTGTTTACTTACGAGGAAAAATCAAATTCCTGGAGATTGAGTTTGCTAACGTCTTTTAATAGAGCACTTTGGAGATGTTTTGGTAAATGGAAATGATGACTTCCACAGCTAACCTACAGTGTAATGTCATTGGTGTTTGTCTATAAAGTGATGCTCTGCTGTCTACAGTTTGAATCACTAAATTATGTCTCCCTTAAACTGAATATATTACAATAGAAGAATTTTTAATATTATATTTTACAAAGAACACTATTGTAGCTTTTGGTTTTCATTCTTTTTTTTCTTTCTGTTCAGCTGGAAAGACATTGAAGTTTCAATTAAATAAGAGATCACATGACATTATATGTCAAAGCCAGAAGTAAGAAATTTACCATACAACTGACTAGGTACTTGGCTATGGGTGCTTTGAGCAGCACTCTTTCTACGTGGTATTTATGTTAATATAAATTGTATAAAATTATTTTAATGATATATACATTATATAAGTACATAAATAGTACATTATTTGAATATGTAAAAGTAATAGTATGAAATAGCACAATAATATATAAGTATGTAAATAGTTCACATGTAAATATAATAGTATATAAACAGTATACTAGTATAGTAATACATTATATAAATATGTAAATGGTATATTATATAAGTATGTAAATGCAACAGTATGTAAATAGTATAATAATGCATTCCATAAATATGTAAATAGTATATCATATAAGTGTGTAAATATATATAAATAATAAAATTGTATTATAATACATTACATAAATATGCAGAGGTAATAGTATGTAAATAATGCAACAGTAGAATACATTATATAAGTATGTAAATAGTACATTTTGTAAGTATGGACAGGTAACATTATGGTAATAATACAACAGTAGAGTACAATATATAAGTATGTAAATACTATGTATTATATATGTATCTAACAGCATTTATTATACTGTAAATGCATTTTATATTATTTATTACATAATAAATGTATGTAATTACAAATACTAATTAACTCTAACAACTGCCACTAGTAGGGTTGTTAGAATAAGCCCAAAAAATCCACCCAGGCCCTGCAGTTAAATTTGAATTTAAGTCAATAAACAGAAATCTTTTTAGTATAAATATGTTTCTTGCAATATTTGGGACATAGTTATCTTAAAATAATTTATTGTTTTTCTGAAATTGAAATTTAACTTGGTGTCCTTTAACTGTTAATCTTAGTCATGAGAGTAATATAAGAGAACTCTCAAAGTAACTCATGTTGGTTTTATTTATTTCTCCTTGGATTTTTAGTATACACTTGCAGAATAGTGTAACATTTGTAAATACAATCTCTGCAGGCAAATATTGTGGGTTCAAATCTTCACACTGTGTTTTTTCAGCCATGTGAATTTAGACAATTTATTTAGTCTCTCATTGTTCCAATCTTCTGAGAATTAAAATGGAAATAATAATAATACAGACTTCATATAGTTTTTATATAAATGAAATGTTAATATAAGTAAATTTTTTACATGAACTTATTAGCATACCTAATACCCTCTCCAGTTTGTGCAACAGAGTATACATCCAATAAATACATTGAATAAGAATAGAATCAATATATATGTTGAATGAAAAAAGATAGATAGAGGGGAGAGAGAGCATGTGAGCAGCTGGGGCAGAAGAGAGAAAAGAGTCATCTGGAGTACTGAAAAGTACTATAGAAAACAGATTTGTATTTAATTAGGAAGAATAACCACACTTTCTCATAAGCAAGTAAGTTTCACTCTAAAAATGATTGACAAATTTTGCTTTATTTCAAGGAGAAGTAGCATCAAAGTTAATAAAAAAATAAGCTGCCAAAATCTTACCCAAATAAATGCATTTGGAAAAGAATCCATCTCTCAGCTACTGTGAAAATAATAAAAAGATGTGTAGTAATGACACATTTCAGGAATAAATTTACAGATCATTGTTGAATACAATTCCACAAAGAGACCTCAGGGAAGGAGAGTCTATACAGTAATTAAATCACTCGTTGCCCTCACACATTGGCAGATCTACCGAGATGTCACTTAAGGGAATTTGAAGACTGCTGTCCCGTGGGAGCACTTCACTTTGGGGAACCTGAAGCTTTATTTAAACAGGTCATTTGCTCAATAGATTCTAAGAGTGATTATAGCAGTGACAGGTTTTCTTGTTATAGTAAGACATCTAACAAACCTTTCATTTATTCACCTATTAAGCCAAGTTGGATTTGTTCAATGGATGTAGTTATACTTTAAATGTTTCAGAATAAGAATTTTGGATACTTGTTTAAAAATCTAAAATTAATGGAATGGAAACTAGTGCTATTTTTATATTCTCTGTATCCAGCCATCAGTCTTACATATTATTAACATTGTGTAGAGGACAAAATTTGGGACCTGTCTGGTCTGTAAAGGCATCTATTTAAGAAATGCTGCAAGATTATTTTACTGGAGAATGTGAGACTATGTATCAGAGTGTCAAAATTATCTGGTCAGTCATTTGAGGATGAAGCATGGAGGTGAATAACAAGAAGATATAGTATCAAATAGGGATTGATGAAGCAGGAAAAGAAAGAAAGAGACAGTAGACTGAGCAGGAGCCTGAGAGGTCAGATTTCCTTTGCTGAAGTTGGGGATGTGCTACAGAAACATCTTCGATTTGGTTTTGCAGATAGCCAAGAGGCCCAAGAGTAGGCAGGCCAGGTGAACTGTGCAAGACAATTTTTTTTAACTTCTCATATCTCATCCATTTTACTGGGAAGGGAAATACTTGATAGGAGTGGTATTGCAGGTGTATTGTAACAACAGGCCATGGAATCACACAGACCAGAAATCAATGCAGCCTCCGAAATTTAGCACCTTGGAAAATGTACTTAGCCACTCTCTACCTTGGTTTCCTTATTTGTACAGAGAAGGTTAAAAATTGTAGTTACTTTAAAAGGTTATAGTGATTAATAATTATTGAACTTCAGTACTGACTTAATAGGTATGGTAAAACAGCTGATAATAAGTCAGCAGACTCTCAAGCGTTTCTGTACCTTGATTATTGACAAACTCATTGTTTTACATCTTACTGAAGTACATGTGTGTGGGGAGGGGAATTCGTTCACAATACAATCTAAAGGAGATCAAACATCTGTAGGGACAGGTACCCAACTATAATAATATATATGAAAACATAAGCCATTTTTATTCTTTATCCCAAGTAATTTGAGGTACTCTAATGATGAAGCACTGGATTACACTGTGACCTCCTTAAGCGATGTGCAGCTTGGCTCCTCTCTCACGTTTTTGTTTCTTTTTAATATGCAAATGTGAGTGTGTGATCTTAGGTGTGTCTGCATGAGCTAACTTAAAATGAATTTAAGTACAGTTTTCTGAAATATTTATATTGAAATAAATTACTTAAAATTTTAAAAGGTTATTGTGAAAATAAACCATTAATATTTTCTATGTGCTTAACACTGAGTCTGGCTCAAAATAAGCTACAATAATGTAAGTTGCTATGATCACCAGATGTGTTATTTAAGTTCCTACCACTTTTCATAGCATCTTTCTCACCTGGACTCATAGTGGCTATTAAACAAATACGTGTATTTACATGTAGTTTTTTCTATAAAGGTCATTGGCTACATGTCCGAGAACTTGCAATTTATGTAAAACACATTCATCAAAACATTGCAAAAAGTTCATCAGAACAAATGAAATACACTAGATTTTTATAAGTATAAATATTAATAATTCAAAATTGTATTATGAGTGAAAAACCTCTCAGTATTTACTGAGAGGCCCATGAAAGGAATAAGTGAGAAATGGAAAAAGATTCAGTAGCTGAAGACTTGTTCGTAAGTGAAGATTACTTTAATCTACCATAATCAGAAAGTGCTGTTTTCCATTTATAAAATGTATGTATTCAGATGTGCACACTTGAGTTCAACCAGTCACATAGTACCCTGTGTGTACAGTCACTCTGTAAAACAACTAGTTTATGCTAAAGAGGAAGTCTAGGACCAAGGAACAATGCAAAGGACATGGGTATGTGACAAGTTCAAAAATTTTACAAAGAACCTTGCAGCTCAGATGTTGCAAACAAATTTTATCTCAATGTGACATGCTAAATAGTAGCTTATCACCACCTTCACTGTCACGCCCATATTTAAAACACCTCCTCTAGGGTAATTAAGTTATGTAATCAGGTTATTTACTGTGCATAGTAAACCCTGGAAAAATATTTGTGCCATGAAGATAATCAGTCATCAACATTCTGAATTGTGTTGATCGCAACAAGCAACAAAGAAAGGAAATCTGTATTAATGACTATTTCGTAGACAAAGGGGTGGGGGTAGATTATTTGTAAACATGTCAGAAAATGTTATGTAGATTTCCATCATTTTGAAAGAAGATAAATATAAATAAACTACAATCTGCAAAAGACATCCACTGGTGGGCAGAGAAGAAACTATATGTGTATCAAAAATTTTTCCTGAATTAGTTAGCTTTACTTTGTGTTATTAGAGTTTAAATTTGTAGGTGATCTTGTATTCAGCATCAACTCTTTTGTAATAATATTAAATAACTTAGTGTTTTGGGTTGAGGTTGAAAACAAATGATATATATTTGTGTTTTTGCTTATCCTAAAATGACATCATAAATCCGAGAATTTATAAGATTATCAGTCTAGATTTTGTAGATTTTGAATTAATAATTAAAGCATAATTTTGCGTATCAGACCAGCATGTACCTTCTTATAATATCTTTAAGGCACAAAGGAAACCCTAATTTTCATTTACTCGTAGAGTACAAAAAGTACAGCTATATTCTAACACTTTCTTACTCAGGAAATGAAAACAATAAACTTACATTATTTTTATTTCTGTCAAAGGGAAAACATGAACAAACAATACATTTATATCAAAGAACTGATTATATAACTTTAGATACTTTTAGATTGCCTTCATTATCATTTTATTATCAATTATCTTAAATTTGATTATATTAAAAATGTAAGCTAAAGTCTCATTATTTAGGAAACAGGACTTTATCAATAATAAAAAAATATATCTGCAAATTTTTTTCCATTCAGAATGAACTGCAATATTTTTCTTACCAAGAATATAAACAATACACGTTGCAATATATATTTAAAATACTATTACCTTACAATTTTTTGCTCTGTTTCATTTTTATTTTTATTTAAACTCTTTGGCACTCTAATATCATGTTATAAAATTACAAACGGTAGGTTCAAATCTTTACTATATTAAATAATCCTAAAGGCCCAATTGAAAAAGAAAAATTATATTATAAGTACTTCCAGGCATAGCACAGTGCCTCATATCTGTAATCCCAGGACTTTGTGAGGCCAAGGCAGGTGGATAGCTAGAGTTCGTAATATGGCACCTTGCTTAGCTTCTCAGGACTTGGGAGGGTATGTGGGACCCAGTGTGACCTCTCTGTCTGGGGCAATACCTTTCCATGGTCTTCAGGCAGCTTCCTGTGTTAGTCTCAGTGCCTGAGCTCTTCTGTGGCTAGTGCTGCTGGAGCCCACAGTGTGAATGTGGAACACTGGGGGTCTCTCATTTACAACTTTCTCCCAATGGGAAACATCTCTGGGCTCCCAGCTGATCCCAGATGAGCTAGCTGCCTCCGTTTCATCTTCTTTCCTTTAGATGTTACCTGTCACTTCTCTGTTCCTGTCATTATTCTCTCTTAAAAGATCTATTCAAAGTATAATCATATACTCACTATTTTTGTGTTTCTTTTTTTTCGAGACGGAGTTTCGCTCTTGTTACCCAGGCTGGAGTGCAATGGAGCGATCTCGGCTCACCGCAACCTCCGCCTCCTGGGTTCAAGCAATTCTCCTGCTTCAGCCACCCGAGTAGCTGGGACTACAGGCTGCGCCACCATGCTCAGCTAATTTTTGTATTTTTTAGTAGAGACGGGGTTTCGCCGTGTTGACCAGGATGGTCTCGATCTCTTGACCTCGTGATTCACCCGCCTCGGCCTCCCAAAATGCTGGGATTATACGCGTGAGCCACCGCGCCCGGCCCTATTTTGGTTTTTCTTTATGGAGGAGGTGGTTACCAGATGCCTCTAGTCAGCTGCTGAGTGTCTTACTTTTTTCAATGAATTTTGTATGTTTTGCTGTATCTTCTCTTTGCTTGCCATTTATCTCTTTGTAAGTTTTAAAATAAACATTTTGTTTTTATTATTCGTCTTTATATATTATAATATGTAGTAGTCAAAATTTATTTAATTTTCAAACTTAATATTTGATTTTATATTTGTCTTCTTTCTTTGCAAATTGAGTAATTTACTAGATAAAGGGGGCAGTGCA